GAATCAAATTAATGAGCCCTTTCATAGATTCAACTTCATCAGTTCTACATTTCTTCATCAGGATGTTTTATGGAATATTAGTTTCCTTTTTTTTTTTTTCTTCCTACTTGGTATTCAGGTCAAGACAGAAAAGAATGCTTATAAACAGTTACTTACTTTTTGTTTGAACTTAAAACTTAAAGGACTTCCTTTTTATAGTTTTAGCTACAATCCTTTGCCCTCAAATTTCAAACACTTACATGAGTTTGAAACAAATCATGTTAATGTATCAATGTATCTGACTTTGTAAGGTTTGTATATTAACATGCATAATCACCAGTTCTCTTTAGTCCTACTCTGTCTACATTAAAAAAAATCAGACATCACTTGTGAATTTGGGGAATACTATAACAAACCCGTGAGTGAAGTCCTTGTGTGTGTGTGTGAAAGGTGACATGCTTCTGCCTTTTCAGAATTGATTTTTTTTCTTTTCTTTTTTAAAGATTATTTATGTACTGGGGTACAGGACAGAGGTGCAGGGACAGTGAGAGGATTCACCAGAGACAGAGAGGGTAGCAGAATAGGCAGACTGATGAAGTACACTGCTGAGGGGAGCAGAGAGAGAGACAGAAGAGGTCTACCTGGCTATGTGGATCATCTTCTGGGCTGGGGATCGAACTCTCACTGAAGCAGCTGTGGCTAGCTTGAAGTGCTGCACTTTAACCTATTGTGCCACCAGGGAGGGCCATCAGTGTTGATTTTTTCTATCTGAAATACCTTTCACAACTTCATTATAACTATCAATAGAATTATAATTTGCATATATATGTGTAAATATGAAAACTATAAAATTTGAACAAAATCAATAATCTATAGTTTTGTAGCTAGATCTTGATTCCTAGATGAAAGCAACTTGAATTTTGTTTCTAATAACTTCTGATAGGAAATAAAGTTCATGGAGAACTTTTAAAAGGTCAGTTAGTCTCCTTTGCAGATATTTATCTAGAATGAAGCCTAGATTATTAAACCAAACATATCAGTCTGAAGCAGTGTTGGCCAACAAAAATATGAGCCATTTAAGTAATTTTCTAAAAGTTGAAATTAATTTTAAAAATCCATTTAACCTAATATATCCAAGATACTATTTCAAAATGTTATCAGTATAAAAATTAATACTTCTTTCATGTCTTCTTTTTTTTTTAAGATTTATTTATTTATGCATACAGAACTGGGATACAGGCCAGAAATGCAGAGGGTGAGAAGATTCACCAGAAACAGAGTGGGGAGCAGAACAGGCAGATCGACAAAGTACACTGCTGAAAGGAGCAGTGGGCCGGTCAGGAGAGGTCTGCCATGCCATGTGGTCACCTCCGGGGCAGGCGGGGTCGAACTCATGCTGAAGTGGTGTTAGCTTCTCAGTGCTGTGCTTTAACCTGCTGCACCACCAGGGAGGGCTCCTTCTTTAATGTCTTTATTTAAATTTTAGTCAAATAAAATAAATAAAACAATCATTTCCCTACTTCTGCTAGCCGTTCTTAAAGTACTCAGTGGGCATAGAAGATAAGTTAGTGTTTACCATATTATCTAAAATATTACATTTACAAGCCATTTTAAAAGTTATGACAAAATGACTAGAAAAGCAGACTTAAGAATTAGCTAGGTCGTGTTTAAAAGTATATAACGTTATGTGATAAATTCCTGTGGAAAAACAAACATATTTTCAGTAATCTACATTAATAATGATATAGACTAATAGTTTCACTAAGGTGAATTATGAGTTAATAATGATTTTTAAAATCAAGTTAATCACTAACTGCAATAAGCAGAATGGTAATAATTTAAAAGTACTATACTATTTCGGGAAGAGAAGTTTTATTCTTTAGAACAATATATAATCAAAATGTAACCAGTATACTTACAATAGAATCTGTGCCTACAAATGTGAAGTTCAGGACAGAATCATTATTTTTTATTGTAAAGACTACATTGATTTCCACAGCTGGAAAAAAAAAATTACCTAAGCTATATAATTCACTTTAAGGGGAATATAAGCACATTCGCTATGTGTTTTTGATATACTGGATCAATCAGATTGGATCTTTTGGCTTAACATTCTCCAATTTTCTTTCTGCTCTCAGACTTCTATTAGTTCTTTCATAAAAATGATGACTTCATTTTGGAGTCTATGATATAAAAAATCTAAGACATAAAAGGGGTGCCTCTCATATTATAATTGTGAAATTCTTTGTATGGGTATAACTGTTTCAGCTCATCACACTCTTTCTTTTGGGTATTAACCAATATTAAGCTTCATTGATAGAAGGTTCAGTGTTGCACAGATACTTTTTTCAGAAGAAAAGTATTGGTGATGCCAATACTTACAGAAAATGTGTGGTAGTGGTTTCATTAATATGTAATTTTAATCTTTTCAAATACATAGCATAAACATTGCTTAAAGGCTTAGAGACTCCATTTCAATGCATTTTTTGGGGGTGGACTACATTCAATTTTTAGGAAGAACCTGAAGGTATGAGGGACCTCAGTGGGGTAAAGTAATTTGTAGTCACTTCTAAGGTCTAATGGTTTCTAGAGTATACTCTTGGATGATGTGTGGCATCAACTAAGGCATCTTGAACAAGTCAAATAATTCAGATACTCTCCTTCACTTCCTAAATGAAGGTTTATTATATCTCTGGCGATTTCATTGCTATTCTGATGCTAATCCATAACCTGAAGATGTCCAGTCCCTTGGTAATAAGTGACAATTAGCAAAAGTGAATTATTCCCTCTTTAGAGTTGTGCTACCATAGAGCTACATTAATGTCCTTGAATGTTCAGCAACTATTTGGGGAATGGATAAATTATATCATGATTAACTCAGTTGTGCAATGGTAAGCACAGACGAGTATTTCTGTTTAAGCTTTTAAAACAAAAGTAATTAGAGTTTTTGCATAAACCCAAATATCTAGTTAGATATGCGAAGGTGGCCAAAGTAAAAATTATTCCCACAACAGACAAAAACTACTATTGTGCCCAGTAGCTGTTTCCCACGTTCCTAGCACACAGGTGCTCAGTCAAGGCATTTGTTGCATGAGATAATTCCCCAAATAACCATTTCACAAAGGAAATTATTTTATGGATCATTTAAAAGTAAAGGGTATAAAAGTACATCTGTAGAGTGAGGAAGTATGACTGACTGGAATAAAAGAGAAAGTTTTAAAGAGAGGAAAGCAGATTATCTCAACTTTTGACAAAAAGTAGTCTAATTTGACAAATATTTACTCTGTGATTTCTGCATGGCTGGCAAATACTGTGACCCGAGGGCTCAAGGACAGCAGCAAAGCAGTTTCTGCATTCAAAAAGCTTACAGAAAATGGAAGAATCTAGTTTTGTGAGGTGTGTTTGATGGCAGAGATGAAGTAGTAGAAAATCACTTGAATGAAAGGATTAAAGTGATTAAGGTGTGCAGTCAGCAGCAGATTCAAAGAACAGGAAATAGTTTCAGTGGAAAGAAAACATTTAAAAAAAAAAATAAAATGATAGTTTATTTTTACATCACTTTGTGCATTTTTCCATTTCAGTTGTAATCCCCGTGGGCTTCTCATCACCAAATGACCCATGTGCTATCATCATAGTCCAGTGCATTTCCTTCCCCCCACTGTTTTTGATCCCATTCTCCACCCCTCCCCCATAAAATGTCTCTGGTATATGGCTATTTATTATTATTATTTTCTTGTCTGGTCCATTATACTCTTGCTATGAGTGAAATCACCCAGTATTTTTCCTTTCTGTCTGGCTTATTTCACTAAGCATGATCTTTTCCAGCTCCATCCATGTTGCTGCAAAAGGCATGTGTGTTTTTTTTTTTTTGGTTGCTGAATAATATTCCATTGTATATATGCGCCACATCTTTTTAATCCAGTCATCTACTTTTGAGCATTATTATTTCCATGGAAAGCAGCAATAAACATGGGGTGCAGGTATCTTTTTTGAGTCAGTGTTTTTGTGACTTTTGGGTAGATACCTAGGGTGGATTGCTGGGTCATATAGAAGCTCCAAGTTTAGCAGTTTGAGGAACCTCCAAACAGTTGAAAGAAAACAACTTTTAGAGAGACAACAGCAGAAGAGAGAAAATAGAGGCATAATTTGATCCAACACAAGTTGTTAGTGAAAGATTTTAAGTAGGAATATATGATATATTTACATGTCTTTATTGTGGAGGAAAATAAAGTTTGATAATAGAAAGAGCAGAAGATTAGATAGGAAACAGAACAGGAAAAAAAGGGGTCAGTGGTATGGTGAAGGATGCATTTATACTGTTAATGGTAAATGGAATGTAGTAGTATATACAGATACAGATTTATAATGTTGTATACCTGAGAAACATATATAATGTTATAAACTATTATTATTCCCATAAAAGTTTTAGAATTATATTCCTAAAACAAAATGTTATATATATATTGTTTTATATATACAACATTTTATATATATATAAAGCATTTTATATATATAACATTTTATGTATATATATATATGTAAATATAATATGCTCATTGTATCTATAAATCTTTGTTTTTTTGAAGGAAATAAATGTGACGAGAATTCCTCTTAAGGTTAGGACCATTTTTGTTTCAGAAAATATGTTGAACCCATTCAAGTAGAAAAACACAGAGATCGAATTTGTAAGAAAAATAAAGCAAGGGTAAAAAATGTGAAAGGGTTGACTTGGGTGTACTTTATAAAAGGTGGTCATTAAGGTTTTTCTGATAGGTGACATTTGAGCAGAAATGAGGGGTCTGGGGTCTATACCAATGTGCTTGTATGCTGGTGGCAAATCAAGCTTGACATGTGAAAATTGCCCTGTGCAATTTGCCACATACTGGTGACAAATTGACAGCAAATAATATTGAAGAGAACTTACTTGTTCTAAAGCTTCTAAGGCAACTTGCTATCACTTGAATTGCCTTTTCTTTTCTGCTGATGGAACAGTTTCATGTTTGTTCTCTGCTCCTTAACAGGGTGGTGGTGATTGTCCAGAAATGAGTATTGGAGCCATAAAAATTGCCTTGGAAATTTCTCTTCCTGGTTCTTTTATCTATGTCTTCACGGATGCTCGGTCCAAGGATTATCGGCTCACTCATGAGGTGCTGCAGCTTATCCAACAGAAACAGTCACAAGTAAGTAGCATGAACCTTCAAACATTCCCATCTTTCAGGAACATAAATAGGGACTGTCTTCCTGTCGCATGGCAAATATTTTAACTACCAAGCATGTATGTAGGTATCATATATGTGTTATTTGTACCAAACGTATGAATACCTGTTTTTTAATAGAGAAATGTTGAATTAAGTTGTTTATCATTGTCCTTATTATTGACAAAAGCAGAGTTTTAAAACTGGCTTAAATTTCAAATTAATCATTGCATTAATTATCACCTTTTCTCTATCTGCCCTAAAACAGTAAACATCTATTTTGCACATATTTGCAAGACCCTGTTGATCTAGGTCTGCCTTGTTCATCATTGTGTAGGCAGAATAGTTTGATTTGGGTTTAATTCATCTGTTCTGGTCTCTGGGGTGTCATGTCTCTGCCTTTTGGGTTTTCTCAGCCTTTTTTTGAAACCAGTAGGCTTACCTAGAAATTAGTCTTTTGCCATGACAAAAATCGACTGGAAATACACAGAGGACCTCTTCAGTCTAGCCTCAGATTTGGTAGAAGATGCCTTTTTCCTTGTGCTACTAGCCAAAGCATATTATATATTCAAAGATCACAAATTTAAGCTCTACATCTTTAATGAAAGGAGCTTCAAAATTTTGATAAACTGTGTGGATCAAGTAGGAACGCATAGAGAGGGTGATATGTTAACTTGCCTAGTTCAATGTTGACACATCATAGGTGATGAATAAAAATAAATTGAATTTTGAAAAATCTTTTAATTGTCTTTTTTTCTTTTTTAAATAGGTAGTATTTGTACTCACTGGTGATTGTGATGACAGGGGCCATATTGGATATAAAGTGTATGAAGAAATTGCCTCTACAAGTTCCGGTCAGGTGTTTCATCTGGACAAAAAACAAGTGAATGAGGTTAGCTTACTAAAGTGGTTTAGTTTTATTACTAGTTTTCTTATCAATCAGTCAGGCCAATCTAACTGTAATAGATTTTGTGAAAAATAATTTGGACAGATATTTTTTCTTGGCTGCAGGTTAATAAAGGCATTAAATCAATATAGAGAAGCATGGATATATCTAATACTAACTTCTAGATTGCATTATACTATATTTAAAAAATATTTGATTTGCATATATATTTCAAATTTATTGAACAGCAATTGAAAATGTTTTTAGTTATTTTTCTTTAAAGTCATGTGTGTTTCTGATACATGACTTGGATAATAGGTAAAATGAAGCTTGATTGTTTATTGAATTAGAATTGAGAAATTTATGAACAAGATTATGAATTTTATCCTTTTGAGTAAAACCCCAAAACTATAATTACTGTTTAAAATATTTTATGATACCATCAATATGTAGTAAGAAATCTTGCTATTTTCTTAAAATACTTAAGGTATGGGTATTTGTTAAAAGTATTGGAGCTCTGTCTAATTATTATGATTCTTTTTCTTTTTGATATATTGCCTTGACATCACTTGTGATAAAACAGTGTATTTACTTATTTGACTGCCTCTTAAACTTCTAGGAATATACCAGTAAAGGAAAAAAAGAAATATGTAAGCATAATTCATACTTGATATGGTCACTGCACCTAAATTCTATTAATTTTATTATACACTCCTTTATGGCTTGAATGAAATGATTCAGTTGTCATTTATGTTTAAAGAGTTACTTATAACTTAGTGGAACTACTAAGACATTGCAAATTTCTAGGCTAAACAACCTAGCAAAATATTTTTATCAACCCACTGAGATGCAAACCAGAAAGTTACTTTAGCCTGTAACATTTTTTCTTAGAACACACTCACCTAAGAGATGGTGCTGACATAAGTCCGTATTTTGCCCACAGTAACCATACAGAAAGACCTGTACAAGAGAGCCTAGAAGAGGCTGGAGAGACAGTTTTCTCTTTTTCCTATGCTTGAGAAAGATACTGGAATTGTATAAACTAACATGTTCTTTAAAGTCACCAGGTTGAAGTTTTTGTTAACCAAAAGCACAGTGATAGTATTAAAATGGAATTCACAAGTTTTTTACTTTTTAGTCACTTCCCTCTTCTATACCTTCTAATTGTCCAATTTATTAGAGAAAAGAGACACTAACATGGTATTTATACATTTAATAGGACCGCAGGGAATTCAGACTTACATTGAGTTCTTTCATTTTACTTGAGAGCAATTTTTTCATCTATAATTTCTAAAGGATTATTGTCAACAAGTATGCTTTACCCTCTTAACATAGTTCATCAATTTTGTAGTATATTGGGGCATATATTTTTTTTGTGAACTCTTGAGCTAACTTGGTTTTTTCTTTCATATTTTTAAACAAAATTTTGATTAATTAGATAATCTAAGCATTTTTCATCTTTATTTTGCATAAGAGAAAAATCAAAGTAAAGCAATTATCTGGCTGAGCAAGAGTACGTAAGTCACTGTATGATATTCTATTTGGGAACACAAGTTAAGACATGTCTCTAGGATACACTTTAATAATTCTCCTTTGAAGATTAAAAAAAGAACTAAGCCACTGCAATTTGCTTCTTTTGTTTTTAAGCCAGATAATTGTCAATTAATGCTTCCTTTTGGTAGAAGAAAAAGCCCAAATTTAAACTCTCAAAGATTTACTGATGCTATAGCCTTTTATGAGAGAAGCTAGCACAAAAGGTCCACTCTATATTAACTGGATACTTCACTTGTTCTGAGGTTCCTCATCCCTTCTCCCAACTCACATCTTCAAACTCTCCTTTCAGTTCCCCTCTCCCTAAAGAAAACTACCTGGATATCCCAGCCTGGTAGATTGGTCTCATTCCTCACTAGTAAGTAATGCTGGCTAGATTACATCAGAATGAAGTTTCATCAAATAAAGGAAAAATTAACATTTTTGCGAAGGAGGTAAAAATACTTAAAAGACCCATACTGTTTCCTAGCAGCCATCCCATCATGGAACAGACAGGTCTTTGATGGAGGATGCTTTGATTCTAGGGTTCCTGTCAGTATTTCATGCTTGCTTTCTTCTGGGTGAGTACCTGTGCTGCTGTCTATAGGAATACTCTGTTTCACCCTCAGTCTCTGTTAGACATGAATGGCTCCTACAACTTGTTCCTTTCTTCCATGATATTTCTGTGGTTAAGAAGATAATCAAGTAATTAAGACCTGATTTAAATGACTTTTTTGTCTTAAAATAGTTCAACAATTAGATGTCAATTTTTATAACTTCTCTGAGACTGTTTCTTTACATGGGAATAGGTATAGTAATTAAATAAAATAAGGAATATACATAGTAAGCTGAATAGTATTCCAGAAGAATGGAAATCACCCAGCTTGCAAGTTCCTAGGGCTTAAATTTCTCATTTGCCAAAGAGGGTCTATGGTTTTGCTTTCATTTAGGTTCTTGGGTACCATTATCCTACAGAAGGCTCAGAATGAGAAGGGTATTTTGGTGAGTTCCACTTTTACAAATAAATGCCCAAGGAAACGTGAACTAGTAACTTCTAACAATTATTTTAAGATTCTTAAACTTATGTCATTTCCCTGTATTTGTCATTTTGTTAGCAGATGAAATAAAGGGAACCCTGGAAAGCTCAAACCTTACATACTGTAAATAGTTTCTTCCATCTCCATATAAAGGCAAAACATACTCTTAGTGTATTAGAACTTCAATAGAAAAAACTTTAATAGTCTTAGTGTGCAGTAAAGAGAAGAATGGATAATAGTTTCCAACAAAACACCCCAAATTACCCATCCCTTTGTGGGTAAATGTCCAAACAAGCTTCGAAACTGTACACATAGCTTCATTTAACATTGATGATGATGTTGATGATGACATGACATATAATAATATAATAAACACTCGGTTATTGAGGAGCAAAAGAAATCATCTTCTGTCTCTCTGGATTCTTCTAGGCTGCCAAGTAACCAAGCAAGCATCAGATAGGTTGGTAAGAGAAAAAAAATTCAGAAGTTAAATAATGTCATTACTTCCTATGCACATGGGAGACACCCTGCATGAGTGGAGCAACTAAGTGACCTGCTGCAGATGACATCTTCAGTCACTTAGCTAATACTACAGAGGCCTAGGGGAGAGAGGTGGAAGTTCTTTTAGAAGGTGTATCAAGGAGGACCTCCCTGATGGCACAAGGAGTTATCTCAGCACTGTGAAGCTTTCTGCAGCCACTGCATCATGAGTTTGATTCCTTGCCAGAGAGGTGACCCACATGGCACAGCAGACCTCTCCTGCTGCTCCCCTCAGCAGTGTATTTGAGTAGGTCTGCCTGTTCTGTTCCTCATTCTGTCTCTGGTAAATCCTTTCACCCGTTGTATCTCTGGCCTGTGTATATCAATACATCTTAATAATAAAAGATTTTTCAAGGAAGCCACAGGAAGCAGACTTACATTCTGCGTCCTTCATTGAAAATAGATAAGGGAGGAGTTCCTCACAGAGAGTGTTCATATCTGTCTATCATCTATCTGTCTTTCTATCTGTCTGTTTATCATTTTCATATCCCCCTCCCACCCTCCCCCCCACCAAACATCCTCCATTCAGCCTCAGAGCCCTTCCCATGAAATCGACCCTTTGTCAAAGACATATTTTGGAATGACAGATATTTGTAGATTTTGCTCCCCTACAAGGCAGTGAGAGGAAGCCCTGAGGAGATGCTTCTTGGCTCTGGGAGTCCTTCTGAAGTTGGTGTGTGCACATACACATCCCAGGAACAGGGAAGTAGGCAGAGTGCCCAGTGCCCTTTGTGGGAGAGAGGATTAGGGCCTGGAACACCCTGGCCATTGGAGTTCTGAGGAAGATAGAGTGGATGAGGCTCTATGCTCTCTGTAACAGGAACAAATTCTTGAAAATAAAGACATGTCCCCATTTTCCACTAAGGAACTTCCAGTGGGAAGGGAAGAGTTGAACTAAAACTCAGGAAAATGAGGTGACAGTCTTGTAATTAACTGTGAAAAATACCAACAGCCTGGCAACAAAAAGCTTCATAGATACGAGATTACTGGATCTATTTCTCTGCTAGTGTTATATTCATTTTCAGAGAAGTGAGTACTGATATTAGAAAAATCTATGAATTCTGTCAGAGTATGAATTTAACACAACCCTTGCCTGCTATTTTGGCAGCCGGCCAAGTGACTAGCAATCCACTAAGAACTGTCTACACACAGGCTTATAAGGAGGCCCAACATCTAGAGATTTGACCAGCAAAGGCTCTGGGTGAGGTGTCTACCATTTTGTTTTCCCTTGTTCTGAGTTTCTTTCCAGATGTTATTTGAAAGCTACAACCTTACTGGTGACCTTGAAAGCCAGTTGAAATGGGTTTTTTTCCCTCTGAAATTTGAAAATGTATGACAATTGTAGTATTCTAGAAAGCTAACAAGAAATGCGTGAAACAATGTGGAAATGTTTCCACTCATCCCTCTGTAGAACTTGCCCAATTAAATGTTGAAAATGAAGTGGAGAGCTCAGAATTCATAGTTTAAAATAAAAGGAACATCTCCATAGCCACAAACATGCCTGAAATGGAATACTTAGTTTGCTGAGATTGACGTGATGTCCTTATGAGTGTCTGCATGGAACTTTAATGCTGCGGCTGTATAGCTGGTTTGTTGCTCCAAAGCTCCTTGGAATGCTTTAAAGGTCACTACTGTGGTTCACTGAAGCCATTGCAATTTATGGTCTCATTTGTTTACAAACAAAACCCATATAATCTTGACTAAAACAATTATTGTTCATAGGCCTCTGAACATGTGAAGATTTCATTTGACATTTAAAATGTACATTGTGCATAATATTCCTTGCTAGTGGAGAAAGATGACACTCCTTAATAAAATCCTACCTAGGCATTGTATGTATATATGTATGTATGTATGTATGTATGGACTGAAGCACAGCCTTCCTGCACACAGAACAAT